TGGCCCCGGGGTCTCCCTTCCTGTGGCCCCGGGGTCTCCCTTCCTGTAGTCCTGGGGTGTTCCGCTCAGGCCCGGCAGAGCTGCCCCTGCAGGCTGAGCCGGGCCATCTGGCATCCCCGGGCCCTGCAATCATGCTCCTTTGGGGCTAGTTAGGGTTCGTTTCACTCAACTCACCCCCTGAGGGCGGGACAGCTTTCTTCCCCTCAGCCTGGCAGGTGTTTGTGGCCAAGGGAGCCCCAGACCCCTCGGTTCTGTGGAACTGTGCCCTGGGGCCGGTAGGTGAGGCCTCCCCAGGGAGCTGTCCCCCCATTTCCTGCTGAAGCTGCTCTCAAGAGATTTCTGAGCTGCAGACGTGGGTTCTGTGTCCAGAACCTTCTGTGCTTACTCACAGACTCCACCTCCACCTGCCTCAGTTTCTTAAATGGTCTATCTCAAACAGGCGTCCCCCCTTTGCAGGAAGGTGCTCTTAGGCCTGAAAGTTTCCCTTCTGGGAACAGCAGAGACATGCCCGCTGCAGTGTTCATGGAAGCCCTCCGATGTCGGGAGCTGTACCTTGGCCTCGGGGGGCTGGGTTAGGGTCGCGTGAGCCCAGTGACCTGGGGACCGTCCCTGGGCTGCCAGCAGGGTGGGAGAAGCAGGACGCTGGGTGCAGATCAGGAGGCAGAGCTGTGCACGGGCCACGGGCCTGAGTCTCAGAACCGGCAGCCGCCCGGGAGACAGGACAGGGCGGGGCGGCCCTTCTCCCGCCTCCGTCCACCCTCGGGCCCCCAGCACCCACCTGGCCTGGAGCGCCACCTTCTCTGCGTCCCAGCGGCTCTGCAGCTGCAGCGTCTCCCGCACCTGGTCCCGCAGCCGCTGCTCCAGGGCGCCCGCCGCACTGCTGGCCGCCAGCCGCAGCCTGGAGCCCAGGGCCAGGCAGGCCGTTTGCAGGCGCCCGGCTGTCCTGGCCATCTCCACGCGCATGTCGGTGAGAGCCCTGGGAGGCCAGAGCAGCACCCCCTGCTGAGCCTCGGGACCGTCCGGGGGGAGGGCAGGATCCGGTCACATCGGCCCGCCCTCTGCCACGGCAGCCCCCTCCCCGGCCATCCTCAGGAGAAGCCCCCGCCACCAGGTGTGCACTGTCCCCTCGTCACAGCCAGGGAGGGCGAGCAGGGGCCGGGCCGGGCCAGACCGGGCGGGCTGTCTGCCTCCATCAGGACGCCGGCCCTCTGACCCTCAGCCTCCCCCTGTGCGAATGGGGGTGCTGTCTTGTACCTCGAGGCTCCCAGGTCAGACCTGTGTGAGGTGCCGGAGGGATCCCAGGGCCCCTGAAGCTCCCCGCTTTGCGGCGGCCCCCCAGCTGGCCTGCCCCGCTGTCCTCTCTCCCCTGCACCCTTGTCCATCTTGGTCTGTCCCTTCTTGCTTCTCCCCCCGCCACCCGCCCCTCCTGCCTGTTCACCGCACCTGTGGGGCCAGTGCGAGGTCCAGACAGGTCCGGACGCCCCACCTCCCCCACCGCCCGGTGGACCCTATGGCGTTACCTCTCTGCGGTTGTGCGCAGCTCGGCCAGCTGTACGCGGAGTGCGGTGACCTGTCTCCACAGGAGGAGGAAGTCCTGGGACCCCCCCGAGCGTGTGCGCCGGATCTGCGAGCAAGAGGCCTGAGTCTGCTCAGGCGTGCGAGGCGAGTGCAGCCTGCAACCCCACCGGCCTCTCCACACCGCCTCTCCCGGATCCTCTGTGGGGAGCACACCCATATCACCTGTGGCTCTGCAGCCCCCTTTCCCAGGGGCTCGTCTTCCCAAAAGGTGCAGATCCCCTGCTCCAGGGGGCAGTGCTCACTCCCCCACCTCGCGGACCTGGGGAGGGGGCCGCATCCAGCTCCTGCCCCGACCTGGGACTCACCCAGCCTGGTCTCCCCGCCGGGGTGGGAGGTACTTGGCGACCCTCAGCAGCCACCCCACTCCCAGCATGAGGGGGGGGGTGCGGGGAGGCCAGGTTTCCCCCCTTCCTCCAGCACCAGGACAGCAGCTGTCACTCTAGGGAGTCCCCAACACGTCCAGGGACACAGAAGCCTCTACCACTCAGAGCGCATGGCGAGGCAGTGGGGAAGCCGCCCGCTAAGACGGGGCAGAGTGAATGGGGAGTAATGGCGGATCAGGAGGCTACAGCAGGACTGTGGGGCGGCGGGGGAAGAGGGGAGAGTGGAGGCGGGAACGGGACAGAGCCATGTGTGGCCAGTGGCACCAGCCTTTCAGAGAACTGAGCTGAAGCCCCGGCGTCCTGAGTCTCCATGCCACCTTCCCTGTCCCTGGTCCCTGGGCTGCGTCCTGAGTGCTGACTTCCGGGACCCCCAGAGGGCTCACCGCATGCCCAGTGCTTTCCTACACTCCTCTGTCCCCTGCCTGTCACAGCGCAGCCTGGCTGCTTCCTGACACAGAGTGACCTCACCTTTCCCAGCTCTCAAGACCCACACACTCTCCAACCTTCACAGAGCCTCTGCTGCAACCCCTGTCCTGACCCCACATCTGAGGTTCCCCCCCCCCACCCAAGCCCTGTATGCCTTCTGTAGGGAAAGCCCCTTCGTGCCCGGGGCCGGGGTCCTCTGTGCACTCGCACTGCACCTCCCAAACCCCATCGTGATCAGCAAAGAGCAGGGATCAGACATGCCTTGCAGTACCGGATGCCTGGACGGGCCTGTCCAATAACAGCGATTAGCTACATCAGCTTCCAGGCTTCACAGCTCCCTGAGTGCAGGCTGGGCTGGCCCACGTGGTAGGGAGCACTCGGGCAGGGACCCCTGACCCGCACGCTAGGGAGCACTGAGGCCAGAAACCGGCGAGGTCAGGAACTTGAGAGGAACATTGGCAGCCAGCCTCTTGCCAAACTGAGCAACTTGAACGTGCCTCCTTGACCACAGGGGCTCGGGATGCAGAGGAAAGCGTGGGGCCCATCCAGGGGTGGAGTGTGCCCACACTCGTGAGTGAGATCTCTCTGGAGGGTGTGCCGGAGCTGACTGAGCGGGACACACAGGTGCACACGTCCGCACTCACACGTGCTCACAGCCCTGCCCACAGGGCACTGTGAGAAGGCACAGGGGACACAGAATGTTTGTGTCCCCTGAAATCCTATGCGGAAACCTAATCCCCGGTGGGACTGTATTTGGAGGTGGGGCTTTCAGGCTCCACCCTCGTGATGGAGTTAGTGCCCTTATAAAAGGGCCCCAGAGCGCTCCCTCGCCCCCTCCACCGTGTGTGGTTACGGGGAGAAGGTGCTATCTCCGACCCCGGGAGCATCACACACTGAACAGTCTCCCACCTTGATCGTGGCCTTCCTGCTTCCAGAACCGTGAGAGAGAAACGTTAGCGTAACATAGCACCCCTCTCCAACCCCCGGTCTGTGGTGTTCTGTGACAGCAGCCTGAATGGTAAGACAGGAAGGAGAAAAATCTCCCCTCTGGATTTGGAGCCACACATCAGCCTTTATGCCACCTGAATCCCCATAACCTGGGCGGTTTAAAAAAAACTCAGGTTGAAAATCTGCTTCAATTCTAACAGGTCCAAAGACTGTTAGAGCCCCGGGTACTTGTCAGAAGTGAACGGAAATCCTTTCTGGAAGATGCCACATCCACTCTAGGTTTCGAAGAACTTTCACAAAGTTGCGAGAAAAATAAGCAGCTTTTGGTTTAAGAAAATTTTTTTTTTTTTTTAAATCACTAAAGACACAAGGAAACAGCACTAACCTTAAAGAACTTGGACGTCAGAACATCAGGCACAGCTTGGAACATAACTATTTAATTTGCATCAGCAAGTAAACCGGGAGCTTGACCATGAGTTAAGTGTAAGATATTTGGAAGAGAATCAACCAGAATCCTTAAAGATGAAAAACGGTATTTGGGATTTAAGCAAAGCAGGCAGGTTTAACAGAAATTGGAGGCTGAAGACAAAATTACTGACCAAGTAGGTATATCTGAAGAAATATCTAGAATATAAGCCAGGGTGACACAAAGAAAGCAGACACGAAGGTTCAGATGGCTGTGGGCGGAGCCACCAAGTCGGGGAGGAGAGAGCGTGAGCACAGGCAGGGCTCAGAGGGGGACGCGCTACTTTCCAAAAATAACAGAAGACACAGAACCCTGGTGAATCCGAAGCAGGATCAACAAAAAGCTGCACATAGACACACACAGGCTAGTAAAAACTGCAGAACAGCCAAGTCAAAGCGGGATCTTCCAGCAGCCAGGGGAGAGGACAGATTGCCTGTGCGAGGAGTCCAACGGAGTCACAGGCGCCTGGAGCTGAGTGCTGGGCGGCGGCGACCGAGGAGGAGACAGAGACAAAGGGTCTTTAAAGCACTGGGAGAAAACACCCGCTGACCAGCGGGACGTCCTTTCAAGGACGAGGAGGAGGGGGAGGTAAAGACCCTCGACAAACCCGACCTGAGACCCGGCATCCAGGGGCCTTGTTTCCACTCAGGGGTCACAAGCCCGCAGTGAGAGGAGGAGGGGCTGCCTCGAACACGCCCCCTGCCTCACGGCGGGGGCGGGGGGGGGGGTCCTCCCCTGTGATGTGATGATGGACATGGCCCTCTGGGTGACACACACCCTTGGTTCCGCCTGGGGCGGCCTGCCTGGCGCCCTCCCCTTCTGTGCAGCAGGGGGCACCCCCAGCCTCTGATGGCAACGGCAGCCACAGAGGGCTGGGCACAGGGGGCCCCCCCACCTGCTCCCCGGTGGGAGGTGCAGTGACCGGGAGGGGGCTTGCGGAGGGATGTCTCCGCAGGGTCGGCCTGAGGCCCAGGCCCACAGGGGCCATCTCGGCCTCCTTTCCCTGGAGGGGGCCGTTTTCCAGGCAGCGTCTGGGAGGAATCCTGCCAGCGGTGCCTGCAGAGGACAGGCGGAAGGCCGTGGGGACACCTGCGCCCCTTCAGGGATGGCTGCAGCTACAGAGGCCTGCCTTGCCCCCGGCCATGCCCCTTTCCAGGGCCCGGGTCCGGTGACACATCAGCGCATGAAGGCCTCTTTTCACTCGGCGCTCACCAGCCTATTGTGGGGAGACCTGGCGGGGGGGCACCATCTGTGTCAGGCATCTGCCCGGCCCCCGCCAGGGGTCTTGCCATTGGTGACCACCGGCTGAGGCTGTGCCTGGAGCACTGTGCCCTGAGCCCCCGGAAGGACTTAGGGATTCAGAAAACTGACAGGGGGGCAAGGTCACGGCAGGGGGCCCCGCTGGCCCTGGCCACGGGCTGGGAGCAATGGTGTGGCCCCCGCCCTTGCAGTCAGGACGCGGCAAGGGGTCGGGCCCACGGAGACCACCTCTCTCAAAAATGGGGCAGGACGTGGCCCTGTGACCTTGTTCTACTTTCCAAGTCTGTTCTTGGGGTCCTGCTCGCCTGTTCTCAAGGAAGGGTCTCCTTACCCTAGCGTCCCCCACAAAGTAGACTGCGGGGGCCCAGCCGAAGGCCGAACATGGTGCGGCAGGAGGTCAGCGGCCTTGCCCCCCGGGGGGGGGGGAGGGGAACCACAGTGGGAGCCAATTCACCCTGTCCTGGTCCCCACTGCCTACCCCCTACCGCCAGCCAAAGCACCGGATCAGGTGTCCCCTGCCGACGGGCAGGAGCGGGCAAAGCACCTGTGTCTCTGCCCGGCGCCGTGCCTCCCTCAGCTCCAGCTGGCCCCGAAGATGGAGTACGCCGTCCGTCGTCCTGGCCAGCTCCTCGGCCAGCCTGTCGTTGGCCTTCTTCATGTGCCCCAGCTGTTCCCGCAGAAGGGTGTTCACCTGGGAGAGCCCCGTGCTCCTGGACGGGCAGACACCACAGCAGCTCGGCCACGGCCCGGGGCTTCTAGAAAGGCTCCCTGAGACCCAGCCGACCCGGCTCAGGCCCGAAGGCCGCAACCGCTCCTAAGCAGCACTGGCCACCTGCAACCAGTCCCCGATGGCTCCCCCAACTGGGGCCAATTTCTGAGTGCCACCCTGGCCCCCTCCTCCTTCTCTGGGATGCCTGCTCTCCCTCCCCCGCAACACGACTCTCCTGGCCACGTCCACAACCGCACCGCCTCGGCCGTCTCCGTCCCTCGTGCCGAGGGGAGCCCTCAGACAGACTGCTCAGAGGGGCAGCGCTGGGAGCTGAGGGACGGGCCTGGGGGGAAGGGGCAGGGCAATGCAGAGAGGGAGTCAGGCACGCGCCCCCCCCCCCCCCCATCCCCTGAAGGCGGCAGCCCCCCTGTTACCGTGGAGGCCTTTCTCCACCGAAAGCAGCCGAGCTGGGTGGAGCCAGTATCCAAGAGCCAGCCCTCCCAGCCAGGCTTCGGGGCCACAGAAAAGACCTTCTCTGTTCCTCTTTGCAACTCAGGCATCACCCTCCTCCTGGGTTATTACCTCCCACCTCCGCCCCCGCCCCCGCCGCTGTTTTTGGAAAACTGGTTTTCCAAATGCTTCCCGGCACTTTCCTTCTTTTTCCAGAGTCCCCGAGGACAAAGCAAGTAACGGGAAGTAGTCCACACGTGTCCTAACCTCCCCCAGGTCTGGAGACGCAGCCGTGCTCGGGGGCTCAGCCCCGCTGGCTGCCGTCCCTGCAGCGCGGAGACATGTTCTCCCTTTCCAGGGACGGTGTCCTGGAGCCTGGGGGTTCGGGGGCCACCTCTGGAGGGCCGAGGTTACCCCTGGGGGTGCCGGGCCATGACCCATGCTTGCCAACAGTGAACGGATGAGCCCCTGAGCATGACGTCAGAGTGGCTTGGCACCTAAGGGGCCTGGGAGTCAGGGCCGGAGTGTGAAGAAGGGTGGGGTTGAGGGCGGCACCCCCAGGGACCCCAGGACTGGCTGTGCCAGCCACGGGCCACAGTCAGCTCAGGGGACCCGTCAGCAGTACTGGCCAGAGTGGCAGCCTCGGCAGGCGGCGGGGCTGAGAGGAGGCAGACGTGGGGGAGCAGGGCCGGGGGACCCTCAGACCCGGGGGGCCTGCACCCTACGCCCGAGGCCCACGGCGGGCTGGTCCTCTGCCCACCCTGCCCTGTCCACCCCAAGCCCGTGGCCAACTCCCACGGGCAAACTCGACCTGGAGTCACTCTGGGAAGAGACTGGCCAACAGCCCCAAGGCACAGCGGGGTCTGCCGCCTCTGGGGGTGATGGCCGAGTTCTCTGTGGCCCCGGCTGCCGCATCCACCCAGCTCACCTCTGCTCAGCGGCCTCCAAACGGCCCAGGGCCTCCTCCGGGTCCACGCTATGCTCCAGCTCCGACCTCCGCAGCCGAGCCTCGGTGGCCTCCAGACGGGCCTGTGGCTGGAGAGGGACCGTGACCCACCTCGCCAGGAGGCAGGGCGGCTGTGGCACCGAGCCCTCCCACAGGTGGCAGAGAGGGCTCCCCTCAGGCCCCAGCGGGGTTGGGGTCCAGGTACGGCTGGGTCTGCTGAAGCTCAGGCCCCCCCCCCCACACAGTTGGGTCCCGTGGGCCGGCGTTCACACCCTGACCATGTGCCCAGGGCCCGTGGCTGGCTGAAGAGGGGGCCTCGGGGCCCGGTTCATAACGGGCAGGCAGCATGGCTGAATTGCAGAGCAGGCCTGGGGTCGCCCCCCTAAGAGAGAGTGCGTGTGGGGTCCCGCCCCTCCAGCCGTGCCCACCGCCTGTGCTGGAATGTGTTCCCAGTGCCTCCTCCGGCCCGTGGCAGGGACCACGCCCACCCTGAGCGGCCTGGTGGGGAGGGGAGTCCTCTAAGCTGGACCAGGCCTGCCCAGAGTCTGCCTGCATCCTTCTTGGCTCCCTGCTGGAGCCTGAGCACACGGGGACCCTAGAGCTCCAAGGGGAACAGGAGGTGCTGGGGGCCGCCCCTAGACGTGCTGACCCGGAGCACACTGGGGGTGTCCGGGGAGGGGCCGTCGGGCCGAGCAGGCAGGCTGGTGGGGGGCCGAGCTACGGGAAGGCCGGGAGAGCCTGGAGGCCACCAGTAGGACGAGGGAGGGCGGGCCGGAGAGCCCAGCGGAGCCAAGAGGCCGGGGCAGGGGCTGTGGGGATGCCAGCTGGGATGGAGATGCCCACCAAGCAGTCTCACCGCCACCCTGACCCCCACCCCACCCCGCCATCTGCTTGGGGGTAACGCGGAGGGGGGCCTGGCCCCTGCTGGCGCCTGCCCAAGGGGAGGCTGAGATGCCCGCGGGAGCCTGACATGTCCGCCGAGCTGCGGGGTCTGGGAGTTCAGTTCTGACTCATGAGGCTTACTAATCTGTCCACAGGATTTCTGGCTTCTCTTCCCACCACTGGTTCCCAACATCTCCCCACCCTGTGCTAGGAAGGCCCCCCACCCCCACGACTGGGCCGAGGCCACAGACCGTCAGGGAGGGCAGGCGAGCTCACTGATGCACTCCTGGCCCTGACAGGGGTCGAGGGGGGCCCTCGTGGTTCTGCCCTGAGGGCCTTGCTAGGGGTGGGGGCAGCAGTGGGAGCAGGTGTTCAGTCCGGGGGCTGCGGATGCTGCCTATTTCTGGTAGCCCCGGGCATCCCGGAGGACACGAGGCCAGCCCAGGGCCCTTGGGCAGTTGGCACCGGTCACTGGTCGTGCTGGAGAAAGGGCGGGACCCTGGTTCAGGTCTCAGCTCCAACATTGGCAGCACGGCCCTGGGCAGCTCTGGCCTGCTCTGAGCCTCAGTTTCCACATCTGGAAAGTGGGGTCATCTATCCCGCCACGTAGGGCAAGGAGGACTCTGAAAACTGCAGGGAACGGGACAGAGCCATGTGTGGCCAGACATGCCAGGGGCTCTGAGCACCCCACACGGAGCATCCCTAGCCCAGTCCTGCCTCAGAAGCCGCAGACACCGGAAGGAGGGTCTGGCCTGGCAAGTTTCTTCACCTAGCCGCCACGGTTTCCCCGTCCACACAACAGGGGGCCCTCCCCACCTCCACACCTTATAACCAAATGGTCTCTTGCTGTGGCCGAAGGCATTGTGGATGCCCAGGGGGCCAAGGTGGAGGACCCAGGGGGTCACAGGTGTCCTCTGAGGTCTGTGCCGGCCTCGGCTGTCAGGAAAAGGTAGAGGTGGGGGGGGGGGGGGCGAGCCAATTCTCTAGAAGCTCTGTCTGAGCGTTGGGGCCAATTCGTCAGCAGACCCCAAAGGTGAGGTGCCGGGGCTGAGGGCTCGGGACTGACCAGGCTGCCCCCACAAATCTCCCAGGTGGCCAGGGCACGAGTCAATGTCCTCAGCCGGGCTGTGAGATCTAGGGGGGACTTTCGGGGGCAGCGGGGCCTGGACGCCCCTCCTATCCTCGCCCTCCCGCCTCCAGCCTGTTTTTCCGTCTGCCGTTTGTGTCCATGGCCGACGAACTGTCCTTCTGTGTCCCGAGACTGTGTCCCACCAGTCTGGCCGCCAGTCCCAACAGGTGACCGCCTCACCACAGGCCAGTCTGCCACCTCCGTCTGCCACGCACTTACCCGCGCACTGACCGCGTGGTACCTGCCGGCCAGTTCGTCCTGCTCTGCGTCTGCCTGGGCCAGCAGCTCCCCCAGCCTGGACAGCTCCTCCTGCAGACGCTCGTTCTCCTCCTGCACCCCTGCTGACACGGCCGGCGGCTCCTGCAGCCCTGCGCAGGTGTGGCCCCAGGTTCAGCCAGGGGGGCCGGACCGGGGCCCCCCACCTGCTCAGCCACGGCGCACTGTCTCCACGGTGGGGCTGTGGGCCGGCCACTGGGCTCTCACTGCTGGCCTGCCCCCATCTTCCAGCAGGGGTCCCAGTTCTGACCCGGGACACCCCGGTGTGGGGGACGTGGACTTCATGCTCGAGGCCTCCCTCCCTCTCCTGTTGGTGGGCGTGCTACTGACCTCCTACCTTTGACCCCAGTACAGCCCCAAACCAATTAAAGCGAGGGTGTGGGCGAGGCCTGCACAGCGGGTCCCCCCACGCCCTGTGAAGCAGTGAGAACTGCTGATCTGGGGTAACCGGATCTCATCCGAGTAGGAAGTTGCTTTTCTAAGTGCACAGTGGAGTTCCCTTTTCCTTAACATATACCCGGTGAACCACTGGTTCCCTCGGGGGGCGGGACAGACCCTCACTATGGCGAGGGGTCTTGGGACCCACACATGAGGGAGTCACAAGCACTAGCTGGGGCCAAGTGGCCTGGCCAGTTGGGCGGCCGTGACACGGGGACCCAGCCTGGAGCCAGTTCCTGCAAAGCGCTGGCCCTAGGGGGCCCTCGGGCTGGGTGAGCAGAGGTCGGGGGCAGGGCTGCTCAGCACCTGCGCCTCCCGAGTGTCAGCCTTCAGGATTTTCACTCATCTAATGAAGAACAAATACGGACGAAGTCCAGACTGGCGGTGGCGAATGTGCCACAAACACAAATGCAGCACCGGACAGTCCTTGCGGGCTGGCCGCAAAACACACGGTGGGCGTGGACACACGACCCCCGTGGCTGACCCCGTGGGAGGGTGTGGCTCCGTGCCCCATCGCACTGGAAGATGATGACAGGCCGGGGGGGGGGGGCAGCTGAGCGGGGGCTCGGTACACCGAGCCAGCCTCCAGCTCAGGGCTCTGTGGCTCCCCCGGTGCCCACCCCACCCCCACCGTCACCCCTACTGCCTCCCGTCACCTTGGTGTGGTTCGTCCCTCAGGCTGCCAGCTACGATCTCACGGATTCGGGCGGGCACAGGGGTGGGCAAAGCCGGCCAGCCTTCCCCACGCACGGTCAGTGCCCGGTCTTCTCTGCTGGCCATGGGACTCAAGACGGTGTCCTCCAGCCTCTGAAAAACAGCCGTCCAGAGAGACACCGGGGGCTGGCAGTTTCCTGGACAGCCGCCAAATAGCCCCACGCGCCCAGCGGAGTTAGTGGGGGGCTACCGCAGAGCTCCCCCAGGGCGGCAGCAAAGTGCCCCGGACAGGCCTGGGTGAGGCTGTCATCCAGAGCACACGCCCTGGTTTCTCTACCTGTAAGGTGGGAGGGCACCTGCCTGTCCTGCTAGTGCCCTGAGCACCGGTGACCAGGACAGCACCTGGCCTCGGTGGCCACTGTGCGCTGCCCTCTGGCCCTGCTCCCCCTCTGTGAGGGCAGGGCTGGGTGTCCCCAGTGGGCCTCTGCAGGGCGCTGGCAGGCAGGCACCCTTGCTCTGCCCACGGGACACAACGACCCACCCAGCTGCCCACACAGTCTCCACCTTCACGGCCTGGGTTGCTGGGAGGACTGGTAAGGACCTGAGACCACCCACCTGCCTCCCTTCAGGGCATGGCCAGCTGCCTGGGGCTTCACCCTGCCCACCGGGAAGGGCGCAGGTGGGCCCTGGGAGAGGGCAGGGTGGGCCGTGGGAGGGTAGCGAGGACGGCCTTCCCCCCTGGCCAGTCCAGAGCCTCTGACTGCCGTGGGAGAGGTCTGAAGAGGCCTGGCAGCGGGCAGGAAATCCCAGGGTCCTGGATGCCCAGAGGCTGGTGTTGGGAGGTCTTGGGCTCTGAGCTGGCACACTGCCTCGGCCCTGGGGATTCGTTGCATCGTGAGGTGGGCAGAGCCGGGGGAGGGCCTGGGGGTGCCCTTCTTGCCATGTCTAATTGTGGCACCGCCCATGGGAAGGATGTTCAGGGGCCTGTGAAACAGCACTTCACTGTGGACATGAGAGGCCTTGATGTGACAAGGTCACCGGATGCTTCCCAGGAGTTCTGGAGACAGATGTCTGCTCCCCACGACTCTCCAGGGCTGCCAACCAGGTCCTCCTATCACTCCCTGCCCCATTCCCAGGCCTCTCGAACTCATCACCGTGTGCCCAGACTCATCCTTCCTCCAGCTTCCCAGGACCCCTGCTCCTGGCCCCATGACTCCCCGGCTCTCCCTCCCAGCCCGGGGTCCTGGTGAATGACCACCGAGCAGCCTCCTTCCGCCTGTCCCCTCCCTCCTCTGAGCTCCCCCCCAGCTCTCCCTGAAGACCTTCTCCAGGTTCAGACTTGTCTACCTGGCTCTGAACCTCAGGGCCCGGCTGGAGGGCTTCCTGGGTGCACCCCTGACCTGCCCAGCCCGCCGCCCTGGCACATTCCCCCCCCCCCCCCCACAACCCCCACGTTCCTTCTTCCTGAGATCAGAGTCTGGTCTCTTCTGCACACACGACCTCAAATTCTCCCCAGACACGAGGCCTCTTCAATCAGGACCAGGTCGCCAAGAGTCACCCCAAGACCCGGGCTCCGGAGTGACACCTGGTAAGTCCCCGCTCTGATCCCCAACAGCGGCCCAGTTGCGGGGCAGCCACTGAGCAAATGCCGGGGACTGACCTCCATGCCCTCTGGCGGGAGTGAGGGCCCCACTTCTGGTTCACCCGGGGCCCATTCTTCAGGCTGGAGCCTTACTTCTCAGGGGTGTTTGAATCTGAGTCAGCTGGGGGGTCTTGGGGAGGCCCCCTTACCCACCATTGCCCCCAGATGACCCCCTCCAGTGTTGCTCTGGGTGGGAGGTGAGAAGCCTGCCTTGGGGCAGGGGACGATGTGCCTGCTTCCCGTTCCGGGCCAAGCAAGGAAAGGGTGCCAAGACCATCAACGGCCCCTCCTGTCCTCCTGGGAGGAAAGGCGGCCGAAAGGGCTCAGCCGTTGTCTGCCCTGAAGCCTTTATTTGCACGCGGGGAAACTGAGGCTCAGCGGGGTAGCGAGACCCGCCCCCGGCCCCCGCCCCCCCCCCCCCCCCTCCGCTGCAAGGAGCATGAACTCCAGGAAGCTCTCCCTCCGAGGCCAGGAACGACTCTGCCCCTTCGCCCTCCCCCGCCCTCCCCCGCTCCCTCGGGCATCCGAGGCGCCACCCGCTAACGGGAAGGCAGCAGCGAGGCATAAACTTGACTCATTCCTAACATTCACAGAGGGTCACTTATTAGCCGAGACGTCCCGAGAGGCGCTGGGGGCGTAATGGGTTCCAGCTGTGGCCGGGTGCCGGCGATGGGCCGAGGCCCAGCTGGAGCGGAGGGGGCGCGGCGGGGGGCGCGTGGAGGGGAGGGGCCGTGGGGAGGGGGGGCAGCCCCGCCCCGCCCCGCCCCCGTGGAAACCTAGGGAGGGAAAGGGGCAGGCCCAGCAGGGGGAAGGGAAGGGGAGGAGGCAGGGAGGGGGCGGGCGCGGCAGGGGGAGGGGAAGGGGAGGGGGCGGGGCCGGGAGGAGAGGCCTGGTCTCCAGCCCGGGTGCTTCTCGGGGCCTCGGGACGCGCGGGCTGGACACCGGCGCCCGCTGCCCGTTCCCGACCGGCCTGAGTCTGGCCCGGAGAGGTCCTCCCTTCCCGCCGCAAGACCTTCCCGTCTGCAGCCCCTGGCCGCCACCTGCGGCCCTGCAGGTCCCCGCGGGTGGCCTCCTCTGCGGGCCGGAGGGGCCCTCCTTCCTGGCCGGCCATTTGTGGCAGGGCCCTGGGGTGGGGGTGGGGGTGGACGTCCGCGTGTCCGGCCAGTGCACAGGGAGACTTCCAGAAGCCTGCCTCCCACCCCGGGACTCTCAGCCCGTCGGAGGGCTGGACACTGGTTAACAGAAGACCTCAGACTTGTAGTTGAACCCAGCCGTGTCCTTTCCTCCTGCCCCCAGTGTCCTGCTCTGCTCAACCTTGGCTAAGGGCCGCTGCAAGTTCACAGCCCCTGCGTGGCACCGCCCATGGGAGCAGATCTCGGCCCTAAGGTGGGCAGTCACCGCTTCATCACTGTCACCCTCCCCGTTGTGGCTGTGTGGACGGGGCAACCGTGGGCTCACCTATCTACCCCCACCCTTGGATCAGAGCAGGACTCCCCGTTAGGAGAATGGGTCCCTGTTCCCCCACAGCCGGTGCACCGCATGACCCTGGGCGTCAACGGCCTCAGGTCCTCATCTGGGAAATGGGAGGGGGCATCCCAGAGCCCTGGAGGGCTACAATTCTGTGAGGGTGGGGTGTGGAGTCTGTGGGTCAGGAGGAGGCTGGGGAGGGCAGAGGGTGTTGTAGGTCAGAAATGGAAATCAACAGCAATTTCATCACTTCCTCTTGCTGGTGACCAGCATCAGAAAGTCCCCGAGTGGCTCCCTCTGAACGTCCAGGCTGCTAGGGGGCATGGGCAGACAGACAGCCTGTCACCCAGGGGGAGGGAAGGAAGGATTCGCAAGAGGAACCCGGCGTCTTCCAGATGGAAGAAGATGAGGCTCCCCCAGACCCAAGTCAGGGAGACCCTTGGATGGACCAGGGTGGGTTCAACGAGCCCAGTGGCACCAGAAGCGCGGATTGACGTCACCCTGGGAGAGACAGCGTCCAGTGGAAGCGCCCAACTCAACCGGGTCTCAGGCCGCAGCCTCCCGGGGCAGGAGCAGGCCGAGTGACCAGCTGGAGTGCAGGAGGCGGCCAGGCCCCTGTGCGCGGTGGACTGGCCAGCCCCGGGGTCTGGCAGCCGAGCTCCCACAGTGCCGCCGTGTGGCCGCCGGGGGCTCTGCAGGAGGCTGGGCTGCAGGGGAGGGGAAGGGTGCAGGGCCGGGCACCCACCCGCGGAGAGGTAAGTGACAGTGGTGAGCCCGCACCAGTGAGGCGGGGCTGGGCGGTCACCGCTGAGGATTTCCTAGCAGACGTGTGTGCGCCCCTGACCGTGCCCTGAGAGGCCGGCGTCTCGCCTCCACCACGTGAGGAAGCTGGGGGCCCACTCAAGGTCATTCACGCTCAGGCCCTGAGCCCGTGGGTCCCAGCACCTTCCCAACGCCCGCGCGGCCCCAAGCCTCTCCGCACCGGGCACTCCCACAGGCCTTCCTGCATCCGTAGGTGGCGGGCGCTGGCCCTCGCCAGGAGCGGGCACAGCTTGAAGAACACGTCTGAGGACAGAGCCTGCAGCCAAGTCCAGCTACCGGACGTCTGCTTGCCATGTTTCCGTGGCTTGGCCTGCTGCGGGGGGAGCCCTGGCCAGGGCGCTGGCCTGCCAGGCTCCATTTCCGTAGGAAAAAGAGCTTCTCTGTGTCTGGGCTAACACCTGGCCCCTGCCGTGCTGTGTCTTAACCCCGCTCGGTTCAGATGTCTGTGCGTCTGAGCCCTCTAGGGCCCCGGGCGTCACCCCAGAGCAGGGGCATGCTTCCTATGGCTGGCACTTTGGTCCTCAACTCATAGTAAGTGGGAGGTCCAGGCCAGGCGTTGAACGAGGCATTTGAGAGTGAGGGGCAGGACCTATCATTCCTCTCCATGCCCTCCCCCCCCCCCCCGAGCCCCCAGTGCGATCAATGCTTCACATCAACCAGACACAGGGCAGTACAGGAATGACTGAAAGCCCAGCCCAAGGTATGAATCACTAAGGACAAAATGACTCATATCAAAGAGCTCTGGGAAGGGCAAGGAGCCTGTTGATGTTATGGTTCCTGTGCCCCCCGTGCCCACACCGACTTCTGGAGGGGGTGGCAGGTGAGCTGGACCTTGGGGAATAAGTAAGAGTCCAACAGCCAGAGGGAGCTCGGGTCACGTGTCCTGGCGGAGGGAAGGGCACAGGCAGAGGCAGTGGGGTGGCTTCTCAGAGTCTGTGAGGGGCTGGGGAACAAGGCAGGAGAGGAAGCCACAAAGGCCTTGAATGCCCCCTTGAGGGATGGGGAGCCACGGTCCCCCTGACCCCTAGGGTGGCGGTGGGGAAAGCGGTGTTTCTGAATGAGGACCTGTGGCCCATCTGACTGGCCCAGCTGGCTGATCTGACCAGGTCTGCTGTGGCCTTGGCTGTGTCAGGGCGAACGGATGGACGATTTGGAGACGGGCCGGTGCCGCTGTCCCTGGTCTGCTTGGGGACAGCACAGGGCTCGGCTCCTGGTAAGTGAC